CCCCAAAACCCCAAAACCCCATGATTCTTGATTTTGATTTAATTGGTAATTAACTTTAAATGATTCTATCAAGATAAATTTACTAATAAATAAATTCTTTAGTTAAAAACAATCTAATATAAATATATGAGCATCCCTAAAATAAATACACAATAGTAATCCATTCGAAGACAGAAAAGTATAAATCAAAGTTATACAGATGAGTCATCAAATCAAACATTGCATTTAAACAATGAGGATTAAACTATCAAGCAAGGACTAAGGTGTCTAATAGAAAACTTATATTCAAAGTTTGATCAAGAAAAAGTGTCATTGAAATTTAAAGATGAAAATCTTGAGAGAGAATTTAAAAGGTCATTGCATAAACAGATTATCTAGTTTTCTTGAATCTACATGCTAGAATGCCTCTCAGTTGTTATCGTTTTCTAAACTATGTAGCTATACTATACACTTAATATAGAGCTAGATGCAGATTACTATAAATCTTGGATTGCAGTGGTTGTTGTAGCTATTATTGAAGGAACCTTTTTTTGGGCAACCAAAAAGTACCAAGGACTAGCATTGTAGTTTTCTAACATTCAAACAATATTTGGTGTTCTTGTGATTATGGAATTAGCAGTGATGAATTAAAGATCCCCTTAAGTAGATGGATTCACTGCTTTAACAGCACTAGTTGCATCGCTCTCCTCTATAAGCTATTGCAAAAAATAGCTACTTTACTGCTATATCATCTGCTGTGTTTACATATATTCTCGGTCTTACCACTGGATTCCGAACTTTTATATATTTCTTAAATTCACCTCTTACTTCTTGATTTCTTTCATCTTTCTATACGTGTTCTCGCGGCAGCAAATAAATAGGGATAGAAAAATATTCTAATAAAAACAAAATCAGAAATAGTTACTCAAAATATTCCATAGTCTCATCAGATCTCACCATGATGGAATTATTATAACAAATATTGAAAAGATTGTATTTTACAATCAGAAGATAAATGATATTTTCGACTTAGGAAACTCAGATTGCAATGAACCTTAGATAGAGTAAGCATGCTGTAATATGGAAAAGAATGCTTAAGAAAGCTAGAGGAATATCATTAAAGTAAAGAATGAGGTAAATAAATAAAAACTAATTGAATGCTTTAACAATGCCTAAATAAAGAAAGGATAGTTCTAACCTGGTAAAATGATCCCTGGATATGAATTACTAGCTGGCTGCAGGAATATTTGGGATTATATTCAACTGCAGCAACTTATAAGAAAGTCTATCATCAAACTCTAGAATGCAATTTCCTTAGATGGAATCTACTTCAAATATTCTGGTAGTTGTAATTTCGAATAATAAATAGCTCAAGAGATTCCCGACAATGAAATTGGTGAGAGTCAGAGAAAGCTTAACAATCTCAAAAGATTACAAGTGTTTTCATAAACTATTAATACAGGATGCTAGACTCTTGTTATCACTACAATTAGAGATATGTCTCATTGGCTAGAGCTAGAAAAACAAAAGACACTCACATTGTTTAAAACTCAAGCATTTGCCTCTGCTGCTCATGAATTTAGAAACCCTTTGAATGCAATAATATCTTCATTAGATTTACTCAAAGATATGGTTGACAAAGAAAGAGGTTTACAGTACTATTAGACCGCCAAGAACTGTTCCAATTTATTGCTATACTTAGTTAATGATATCCTTGATTACTCTTAGTTCGAATCTCAAAAGCTACTTATGAATCCAGAAGACGTCAGTATTGAGGATATAATTATGGAATGCCTTGATGTATTGAGGTTTAAAGCTGAGTAAAAAAGATTACAATTAAGTTATGAGATATCACAAGAATTCCCGAGAAGATTACTTACTGATCACAATAGACTTAGATAAATTCTGATAAATCTAATTTCTAATGGAATAAAATATACATCTTCTGGATATGTGAAGATCAAGGCATACATTTGCATTGAACTTAACAAAATTTGCATTGATGTAGAAGATTCTGGTGTTGGAATTTAACAAGAAGAACAAGAATAACTATACAACGCATATTGTAAAATTATGGCCAATCGAAGCTTGAATAAAGAAGGCTGTGGATTAGGCTTAACAATAAGTAGAAATCTAGCTCTTGCTCTAGGAGGTGAATTGAAAGTAAAATCAGAAATTGGAAAAGGATCCATTTTCACAATTTAGCTTCCTAGAAATATAGCTAAGCAAGAATTTTAAAATTACAGGCCATCGTACTTCTAAAATATATTTCTTGAAGAATAGCAATTCTAAATTCCTTAATAAACAGAAGAAAGGGGAAGAAGAATATCATATTAATAAAGGAAAAAAAGACAAGATCCTTATAGAATCATGAATACTAGTATCTAAACTGAAAATCTACTAGATGATTCTCAAACTTATCTTAGAGAAAATCTTAATCAGCATGCCTAAAACTATTTAAAGACGATGAATCATATATTCCTTGATAAGAATTCTGTATAAAATGACAGCCCTAATTCAAGCATAGACCCAGATATGATGGTTATCCCTAATGAATCTGGGATTGATCATTAAATTGATGTATCTAGAGATTTCATGATCCATAAAGGGTCTATGGAGATATTTGAAAACTGTAATCATGCCAAGATTCTTATTGTTGATGATGATCCCTATAACATTATTGTGCTACAAGGCATTCTTCAGTAGCTTAAATAGCCAGTAGTTGACAAAGGCTACAATGGCAAAGAAGGATTAGCGATGGTAGAGTAAGACTATCAGCGAAGATTTGAGTGTAGTTTTCATACCCCAGGGAGAGAACTTTGCTAGCAACATGACTGCTATAGGCTTTTGATTATTGATAATTAGATGCCGATTATGAATGGATTTGAGCTCGGTAGAGCGGTCAGAGAAAAACAGTAAAAGGGTGAGTATTCACCTGAGACTAAACTAATGCTCTTAACTGGTGATGAATTCATGTGCTCTAATGCTGAAGTCAAAGTGATATTTGACTTTATAATGACAAAACCATTAAGCGTAACGAAACTAAGAGAGATTTTAACTTAAATTAATCTCTTTTGATTTCTAGATATTTTACTCGACAAAAAGATTTCATTTAATTTTATTCTAAATTCGATTTTATGGGGTTTTGGGGTTTTGGGGCTTTGGGGTTTTGGGGTTTTG